GAAGGACTTCACAGGAAGTCACAGGCCCAGGAAGGACTTCACAGGAAGTCACAGGCCCAAGAAGGACTTCACAGGAAGTCAAAGGCCCAGGCTGCTCATGACCTTATGACATTTATGGTGAATTGATCTCGCAGTTTCCGTGATTACATTGTGAGCGTTGATAGAGAGAAAAGTGTCAGCCAAGGCAGTTCTTGCTAGTGTTTGTCCCCATGAAAAGGCAAAGTAATATTTTGAGATTTGTAGTTTTATTATCATTGTATATTGCAGCTCAATAAAATGTCCACACCTTTCTGCCAGTCAGTGCCACACCTGCCGTCCTGCTGCAGAGCCAGTAGCGTGGCAGTAGGTGGCACAGGGGGCAGTGGCAAACTTCCTCTTTCTCCCCATGTGGGCACAGGGGTCACTACTGTGTGCAGAGCAGGGTGGGGTGACAATTGTACCTTCAAAAACCTTACCCGCTGTACTGAGTTCTATCATCGCTTTATTTCTAACAACCTGGTCGGCCGGTAAATGTGGTTGCACAAAGCAAAACCAAATAGAAATTAGTCCTTTAAAACATCCTCAGAAGAAGAGCTCGATTTTGAGTTTCATTTTCCAAGAGTATTGATCTTCTTCTGCAGGGCACAACCATACCCATCAACCAGGCCCGTCCCAACAACAACCTGACCTTCACCAAGAGGGAGCCGCTGGGGTGAGAACAGTGGGGCCAGGGAGCAGAGGTGCACTGAGGTCTTCTCACTGCATAGAAGCGGGAAATGACACCAGTATTCGTTACCCATCTTCCATGGGAGAGGTCGGCTCTCCGAGGCGCAGTGCTGTCACAGGACGCGCAGAAGGAGAAGGACAGCGGTCCTCTCTCCTGCTCTTTGTCAGTCTCAAAGGAACTGGAACACATGCAGATAAGATAAGATCACTTTATGAAGGGAAGCACATGTAAGCAGATGTGTCCATTTCACAGTAACAGGACTTCTGCAGTTTGCCGGACACCGATCTTCACCACTTATTTCCACATATTCAATACTGTTCTCATTTTGCGTGCCAGAAATGTACAGTGTTTTCGATTCTTTGTTGGGGTGCTATGTGCATTTACTGTACTTCAGCAACCCCCTCTCTCACCATCCATGATGCCTGACTAAACCCACTCACACCACATATGCATGCCTGTTCACCTGCAGCAATATGTCTGAATCAATTGAAAACAGCTGAACGTTGTCTGAACTAAGACCCTGAGGGACCTTCTGTGCTGCTCAGGGTCAGCTACTGTGTGCCCTCTGTGTGGTGTTTTCCTTGCGGATGCGACTTTGTGTGTCTCCTGACAGCGTCTGCGCCATTGTCATCCCCTGGAACTACCCCCTGATGATGCTGGCGTGGAAGAGTGCAGCTTGCTTAGCCGCTGGGAACACGCTGGTCCTGAAGCCTGCCCAGGTAAACCCTGACCCACAATCCCCTTCTCTCTCACTCTGGCCCCCCCTTTTTACACATTAGCCTACAATCCCTGTCTCTCAGGGATGTGCAGTGCTCTTCTTCCTGTTGTCCCTGACCAACCAGGTTGCCCTATTTCTATAGCCAGACTGTGGTGACTTTGACTTGACAAAAGTCAGCCTGTTTGCTGTCTATCACCCAGGTCAGATATGGTGCCAGGAAGCACTTGAGTCTGTGCTGTTCGCACATGTGTGAGTTACAGTGGTGCTGTAGTGAAGCTGGTTGGTGTTGATGTGACAGAGGACAGTTGGCTGAGAGACTCTTCGCTCAGCAGGATTATGGTGGTATGAGCACTGAACACTCAGCATGAGCAGGATGACTGTGTTGTGTATATTAGAGTGTATATTGCCTTGAGTGGCAGTACTTTTCCCAGAAGTATAATACAATTTATGGACACCTTCACCCTTAGCAAGACCAGAGAAATTGTTAAAAAAATTACATTTGCTAGCAGTCGCTGGATCAGGGAGCAGCTGTGTGTCCTGCTCCAGCCTATATAAGCCGATAGCCGAGCTGGTAGAGATGCAGATGCTTTCTTGGTGGAAGCAGGGAGGGTGAAGGAGAGTGGGTGCACTGACAGGAGAAGACAACTCTGTGAGAGCTGTTTTGTTGGTTTGCAGCTTGGAGTCTCTATGGCCACACGATTTGTCTCGAAGCCGGTAAGCAGCCTAGCTGCCTGACTGCTTTAGGTGGGACTGGGAGAAATGTAGCCAGGAGCCCTGCAGAGGACGAGGATTTATTTTAATTTGTTGTTGCAGGGTTAAACTGTAACGGTCTGTGTGTTGGTACCCGCCCACGTGCGTGCCCAGTGGTGACAGCGCTCTCCGCAGCATCGTTCTGCCCTTCAAGTGTTGTTTGCGGGTGATGTTTTTAGAGACGTCGATCTGCAGGGTTTCCTGGAGGACGTGTCCCCCACTGTGAGAAGTCTTGGTGTGTTAGGGGATCCCTCACTACCACAGAGAGCTACAGGCTAAAACAGTTAGCAAAGTTTTTATGGAAAGATTCGTATTAGTGAGTCTCCTTCTCATGGATCTATTAATCCACTAAACTCTTTCGACTGAGTAAGGCTCTCTGGATAACACCACTGAGACAGGCAGTGTGTCCGTCTTGTCGCAGGTGACGCCACTGACTGCGCTGAAGTTTGCAGAGCTCTCGGTCAAGGCTGGCATCCCCAAGGGTGTGATTAACATCGTGCCTGGCTCAGGTAACGAGGGGCTACAGCAGCTTCTGGAGCGGCCGCCTCCTTGCTGCCCCGGCCTCCTCTCACCCGGGCTCTGTTTGTCTCTGCCCACAGGAGGCCTGGTGGGGCAGCGCATGTCTGAGCACCCTGACATCCGTAAGCTGGGCTTCACCGGCTCCACACCCATTGGCAAGCAGATCATGAAGAGGTAGGACGCCACATCGCAGTCGCTGGGTCTCCACTGGGCTCACTGGCCCGGCTGGGCTTCCACCAGTCGGAGGCTGTAGGTATTGGAAGCTGTAGGTTTGAGTTTGACAAGATTGGCGTATGTGTTTAGCGAACAACTTGACCTTAAAGAGGAACCCTGGGAACAAACTGTAGTTCAGAAGGCACCCTGCCTGACAGCATAAGAATGGGCTGTGGAACTGATGGCCAAAACTTTTCGACATGAGAAATATTAGAACTTCTAAATTCACATTGAAGTAAATTTCAAAATGGAGAGAATGTTACTTTAATCAGGCTTAGAAAATCGTGAAAATTCTAGTTCTCCTTCTGACCCATTTGAAGCTCATTGTTATGATGGCTTAATGCCCCAGATGCAGTGCTCTACAGTGTGGCCTGCAGAGCTACAGAGCAGAGAGGGGCAGTTCTCTTTCTTTCACAGCTTCTTCCTCTGTGCAAGCACAGTGCAGTTCCCTCTGGACTAAGTCATTGTTCTAACGGGGAGTTTTTCCTCCACACTCTTTCCTTGTTAAATGAAGGACTGTTATTTCTGAGAGCCAGTTAGGTGCCATTGAGCTGTGAACTATAAAGGGAGTGTAGAGTGTCAGTAACACACACCCGCACTAAGACAAGTGACAGGTCTATTGGCAAATTACCCATGTGGTTTGTTTATTATGAATTAGGACATTAACGATACACAGGCAAATGTACTCAGCTGCCACATGAACTATCATTAAGCGATTGTTTTCAAATGGGGCAAGAGTAAGCGCTTGTAAAAACCAAGAACAGGCCGTAAGGCACTTTCTGTTTCCAGTTAACAGGCCTTAAGGTGGTAGATGTCAGGAAAGCATTCAGATCATCTGCAGGTCTGTGAAATTCAACTGCCCAACACATAGAATCTTGAGCTGCAGGCCAGGCAGCTCCCAGAGCCGTGCTAACGCGACACCTGCTCCCCCTTCCAGCTGTGCGGTGAGCAACCTGAAGAAGGTGTCCCTGGAGCTGGGGGGCAAGTCCCCCCTCATCATCTTCAGCGACTGCGAGCTGGACAAGGCTGTGCGCATGGTAAGCTGGGGTGCTGGGGCTCCCTCTTCACACACCCTCGTTCAGGGGAGGCGACGGGGTTGCTTTTGGAGTGACGAGGGAATTCAGTCTCGAGTGTTAGCCACGTGGAACAGGCATGGGCGATGAGCTGATGATTAAGGACCCAGACACAGGCTTCCTTTTTTTAGGGCATGGGGGCTGTATTCTTCAACAAAGGAGAGAACTGCATTGCAGCTGGCCGCCTGTTTGTGGAGGATTCCGTTCACGATGAGTTCGTCAGGAGAGTGGTGAGTGAAGATTTCACTGGCTTCGGATGTTGCTGACGAATGCACAGGATGAAGATGAACTGCTTGTGTAGGATATTATAAAGTTCAAGCTCAGTACTTTATTTCCATAACAACTAGTTGCCTGGATGTTGGTATAAAAGCTTACAGCACCAGCTGTTCGCAGGTGGTCTCCCATCCACATACTCAGCAGGCCCAACCCTCTTAGCCTCAGACGAGATCAGGCGTGCTCAGGGTGGCATGGCCACATGCCAGAAAAAGCTCCACAGTAGCATGTGAGGCCAGTTGTTTCTCCTGGCCAGGTCCCAGTCCAGCGAGGACTCCTGTAGGAAGTCAAACAGGAATGGAGTAGCAGGGCATTGTGTGGACTGGGCTGGAAAACCACTGCTGTCTCTCTCGCTGCGGTACCTCTCAGGTGGAGGAGATCAGGAAGATGAAGATCGGGGACCCCCTGGACCGCTCCACAGACCATGGGCCCCAGAACCACAGAGCCCACCTGGAGAAGCTGCTGGAGTACTGCGAGATCGGGAAGAAGGAGGGAGCCACACTGGTGTACGGAGGGCGACAGGTTCCACGGCCAGGTCAGGCAACACGCTCCTCTCCTCAGCTTCCTGTCCTTACACACTCACACACTGCTCCTGCACGCTCCTCTCCTCAGCTTCCTGTCCTTACACACTCACACACT